GCTGCTGACTGGCTTTGCGACTGGAAGGGCTGAGGCTGGAGGACAGCTTTCCGTACGTTTCGGGGTTTTCTTCTCAGAGAGTTTTAACTTTAGAGCAATATGTGAATTGCACTTACTGTTTTGAAACCTGCCTCGGCGCTTCCCGTGCTTGGGTCGCGTGCGAGTTTGCGACTGTCCCTCCCTGGCCACACCTGTCTTTGGGTTCTACGTTGCGGTTTCCTTCTCCGGTCTCAAATCAACCTCCATACTCCAAAGAACATAAAAGATACCGGTCCCCATTGGCTCTGTGCTGGTTGTTTGAAGCATGGCGCTAGCAACCCTCTGGCGCTCTCAAAATTGTGAAGAATGCACCGCAATGGTTACCCGCCCACGCACACTTCCTTGCCCTTTTATGTTTTGAAACGCACTCTATATATATCTCTGCATGGTCTACTACTCACTGTACACCTCAGGCTGGTCTTGAACTCATCTGCATCTTCTTCCTTGGTGCGAGGGGGTTTCAATGCAGGCCACCGGATGGCCTCCTCTTGCGGAGGTTCCTTAATCCCTGCTTAAACTCCTTGTTTTCCAGAAATCCTTGAACCAGAACAAGCTAGTTTCTTTAGGAGTAGCTCTGCTCACTGTGCTCAGATTCCGCTCAATAGCCCTTTCAAAGATGATGCCACCAAGCCCCACAGATGCGATTCACCCAACCAATAGTGAGTGCAAAACCGACCAGAGAATAAATAGGAAATGGGGAGTGCAGGTCAAGGGGAGCCATTGCACGGTTTTAAGTAGGAGAGGGCTGTGATCTAATTAAAGTTTTTAAGTCATTCTGCTTGCTGTATGGAAATTATTTGAAGGGTGTCAAATATGGAAGTGGGGAAACCATTTAGAAATTCATTGTAGTAGAGTCCTTTCTTGACAGCTAGACCAAAACTCCTTCTGCAGGTCTCTCCTTCTTCCTCTTACACAAGTGGAATCTTATCACTAACAGTAATAACCAAAGACAATAAAATCATTGTAGGAAACATGTAAACTTCTCATGGGTACTAGATCTATTTATTTTAGTGCTAATTAAGGAATAACTTGTAAAATATTCAATAGACAGGAAGAAATGAAAAGACCTAGTGCTTAGGAGACCTTACAGTTTGTTCTTCCACACATTGCTAGTATATGCTTGTTGAAAAGTAGCTTCAAAAGTTTAAATGCTGCCAAACTTGATGACATGTGTTGGCAGTCTCAAAATTTGGGTACTTGGCCAGGAGGATCACAAATTCTATCCAGGAGGAAGAGGAGGAGAGTCAAACTCTGAAGAAGTAATTAGTTATGAGGAAATCTATTCTATGGACAAATAAGAATATAGGCATCAACGTAGGGATTAAGGGTAGGGGACCAGGTTCACCATTTTCATGCCAGGATTAGGCTTTTAGAGTGCTATTAAAATTGTGTTTCTAAACTTGAAAGTTGAGAGTAAATCCCCAAAGTTAGATCACTTCAGAAATACAGCCACGCTATGTGTTTTAACCAGCTAGTCATAATTGACACTGTACTTGAGGATGCAGTAAAGAAACCACAGAAATGGCCACTCCATGGGGTGGAAAGAGGAAACGTTCATTCCAAACTGCCAAGGTTGTCTGTAAGGGAAAGCAGAAAGAAGAGAGAGTGGGGAAGAATCTTGAGGGTCTTAAAGAGAATGGGTAGGAGGTAAGAAGGACCAAGATGTTGGTGTAGGGGCTTTGGAATGCATAATGGGTACTACTGAATGGGGCCAAGGGAGCCTGCAGGCTAGCATGGGCTTTTGTTTTGTTTTGAGACAGGTTTTCTCTGTGAAGGCCTGGCTGCCTTGGAACTTACTCTGTAGACCAGGCTGGCCTCGAGCTTAGAGTAGCATGGATACTTTGATATGCAACCACACATGCATGTCAGTGGAGCCATATGTCCCTTCTGCTTGTGGCAAGGGAAATGACTCCTTTTGGGGACAGAAAACCATTTTATAAGTTCCCGAGGAATGCTGGCTTTTATCTAACTGTCAGAAATCCTTCTATAGTCATTTGACCTCATTTCTACATATATTGCCTGCCTGGGACCTAATAGATACCATCCTTTAAAAAGGAAAAGGTTGGATCAACAAGATTATTAGCACATAACTGCATCTGCTACAATCCTGGGATCCCATAGTAGAGACAACCAACTCTTGAAAGTTGTCCTCTGACCCTTACATATGTTCCTTCACTCACACAACACCACACACATACACAAAAAAAAAAAAAAAAAAAATTAAAGGCTGAGTTTTTTTTTTAAAGGAAAATGTCACTGGTTTTACCTCTAATTATAAAAACAATAAGCCCAAGAATTTGGGGAAGAACACAGAAAAACAATTACAAAGGGAAAAACTTTTAATTCCTTTATTCCAACTAATCATTAAGATTTTAGTGAAGTTTTGGTGTCTGTTTCCTTGTATGTGTGTGGTGTATTCCTTTTGTTCCTCAAAGAAGGCAATAATATAATACACACATTGCATTATTTATACTGTATTTATCCCCCTTAATATATTACTTTTCATGCCATTAAATAGTTTTCATAACTTGGTTTTAAGAAATTAGTATTTCATTGAATACATATACTATGGTGATATTTAGTTTATAATCTAACAAATAAAGCTTGCCTAAAGATCAGAGTACAAAGCTAGCCACACTAATTAGCCATAGAGGCCAGGTAGAGGTGACACACATCTTTAATCCCAGCACACAGGAGACAGAGGCAGACAGATCTCTGTTTGTTCAAGACCACCATTGGCTACACGAAATTGATCCAGTCTAAAAGAGAAACAGAGCTCACACAAAGGTGATCCCAGCATGTGGAGTGGCACATCTTTAATCCCAGCACTAAGGAAATAGAGACAGGAATGCTTTGGCTGGTCAGAGAGAGGAATATATGGCAAGAAGAGACAGGAGTTCATGGCAGTCTGATTTACGTGGTTAGCTTTTGTTGGATTCTGGGTGATTGAAAATTAACATGAGCCAAAGACACTTTGGCAGACCATTAGTAACACATACCTTTTAATATGCCTTAAAATTTTCACTCAAATATGAAAGTACATACTTTGGTCTTGCTGTATCAGTCTTTAATTACATTGATAACTATTTTGAGGGCTGGAGAGGTGGCTCAGTAGTCAAGAGTATAGTATAAACTGCTATTGCAGAGGATGAGAGTTTGGTTCCCAACACCCATTTCAAGCATTCAAATGAAGGTGGATTTTTTTTTT